TACTTTCCTAGAAAGAGGCTGACGGGCTTCATCATTCCTGCATCAGAAAAACAATGTTACTTTCCATTTAAATAAGACACGGTCAGGTATATTTTCGGAGGCCTAAGAAAGATATGAACATTGTTAAATGGTTATACATTTAAATAGGCCAGACCACAGTTTGGCTTGAACCGGAACCGAATTGGTCCAAAACCGGAACCGAATTGGACAGGTGGTTCGTTGGTTCCAAACCGAACCAGAACCAACACCCGACAGTTTGGTTCCGGTTCCTAGGTTTGGAAAACTAGAACCGTCGATTTTGAAACTAGCAATTCTGATTCCGGTTTGAACCGTCGATTCCATAATTTTAAATTATTTTTTATTATTTAGAAATAAATTTATGAATTTCTTTTATGTTTTAAATTTTTTAATTAAAAATAAAAAAACATTGGTGGTTCAAACTGGAACTAAAACCATCGGTTCCATTCTGATTTCAAAATCAGAACTTGCCGATTCAGTTTCGATTCCTGGTGTTGGGGAACCGGAACCACCAGTTCTGAAACCATGGTAAGGGCTACATTTAAACCATGGCAAGCAAAAGAGTCTCTAGCACTTTTATTAATGACCAAACTTAAAAGTATATTCTCAACCTTTGCATAATTGAAAAGATTAAAGAAATAAATAGTTTAACTTGATAAAAAAAAAACCAAGGGCTGTTTCTTTCCTAAAAGCCATTTGGACTCATTTCCAACTTCTGATGCTACAAGTGGCTGATTTAAAAAAATATAAAAAAATGTCAGAAAAGGGAGACACAGTGAGCTAGACATAAAAAAGATGCCCTTTTAAGATTATTAAAATTGAACTAGATATAGAAAAACAAAGAAGACAGAAGATCAATGTCTCACCTTGAATCTGGTTATAATCATACTCACGAGAGTATTAAGGTCAAAATATTCGTACAAGTCTAAAATGAATGATGTTGAAACCAACTGAGATCATAGTTTCTAGGAAACCAAGGCAATAGCATATTCTTCTCTGCTGAAAAGCAGTTTTGCAAGAGGTTAAAGCTAGAAGTGTGTTTTGATTGTGAATTTGAGATAACTAAATTATTAAAGAATTCCACTATTTTGCATGGAGCATGCAGATAACCTGGATGAAGGTTTCTTGGAATACAACTAACTTAAACAAGCTAATTACTCCATAATGTCATTTGGGGAGACGGGAAAATTAATCAGTGAAGTGACTGGAGATTGTAGTACTTAGGATGAATCTATATGCCTTGACACAGACATTGATGCTAACACATCAGTTCTAATGAATTATCCATTAATCAATAAGAAAAAGGAACTGCAATTGATATTTTCATAGTATATAAATTGCACTTACAGATCCTCATTCCATTATATTTCTGATCTGGAGACCATTTCTGCTGCTTCGTATCAAGAAATCAAGCAAAAAAATTGAAAAGGCATCAATTTGCTACCAAACAAGTCAACACCAACATTCAAAACGAGGAAGATGAAACTCATATGCAGCACAAGGGAAAAAAACTTAACAGAGGGAAGAACTCACAGTAAAGCATCATCCATATTATAATCAGTTGTTGCATCAATATCACCACCTCCCCTTCCTTCAGAAGGGGCATGACTAGTACCATTAGTCATTGGTGCTACATTTTTCTCCTGCTTCATCTTCCATCCATCAACTCTCTCTTTCCAGGCAACATTGGCAAATTCTCTGGATGTGTTAGCTGATCGACAAAGAAAAGACAACAATTTAAACACCTGAATCAGCAACAGCAAGGTATAAACAAATATTGACCTCAAAATAACAACAATAAAACCAAGGATAAGTCACATACGTGACCGGAAAGGCAGTGGATGCACACGCTTTCCACCTCCTCCTGGGGACATCATATGATCAGGCGATGTCATAGGCAGTTCCCCTGAGAGCTGCAACAGGTTGATAAAAAGAATTTCACCCCGTGGAACAGAAACACTGATGTTCATGAGAGAATTAAAATAAAATCGCATACCCCCTGGCTATGAGTGAGTAAGGGGATGTGATTCCGAGGAATCCCCCCGCTGTCATATTTTGGAGGACCAATGTCTTCCCCTTGTTCGTGGCTCATGTGCCAACCCAGCATGCGTTCAGTAATCTTTGGTTTCTGATCCTGATTACCAGTTGGATAATTGAAGTCACTCACGTCATCAGCATCTCCATCATCCCCTTCCTCTCCACGAACAGGTGGGCTTCCTGCACATTATAATAAAACAAAAGAACCAACTAAGATCCTGAATCGGCTCTTCTGTCTAAAAGCTTGAAAGACCATCTCAGGTCCGAAGCCAAAACCTCTGTGTCTCTTGTATTTGGTCTTGCACTGGGGACAAGACTGGTTCCCATCCTTCCTCTCGTACTCATAGCACGGTCTGCAGACGGGAAACCCACAAACGTCACAGGCGACAAATATATCACCGTCCACCGTCGTGCCGACACCATCGCCACAGATCTGGCACACCTGACCGCCGGAGTGCTTCCCAGGTTTCTACGTCCGGTCAAAATTAACCACATTTAACACGGTCTCAACCATGGATTGCAAGGAAGAAGATGATTTGAATATCAAGATGGAAACTTTTTCCAGCAATAAACTACGTTTCAGCTAAAAGCAATCAATGAAAACTACTTTTCAGGTGCACAAACATACCCTTTTCTCTCCGTCGACTTCCATGGCAAGTTTCTCAGCCAACAGAGCTAATTTCGATCACATCCGGAGAACAAATAGCTCAAATCTTAGCAGATCTCAGGGTTAACGCACCATATGGAATCAGATAAGACAACTTGCCCCTGCTAAAACCACATGCAATCAAGACGAACATTAAAGCATTGGATCTACTGAATCATTACCGCGCACCATCCATAAATGAACAGATCTACATCTAGAACGACTCATTGGCATCAAAAACTCGAATTTCTTCATGAACAACAAAGAAGGACCTCACCTCTGACAATGGATTGCTCCCGAGAGCCACCAAAAGGGCCTCCTCTCCCGCTGCCGACACGAAAGACCAGGGGAGTGAGGGGTAGAATCTCAATCTCAATATGCAATTAACGGGAAGAGGCAGCGGGGGGAACGATAGCGACGCTCGAACAACGGGATCCGATTACCATATGCTTAATAGGAGACGGACGCCTCTTTCACTCCACCAGCTTCTCATGGACTGAGGCGGAGAAGACAACAGACGAGGATCTCAATACGCATTGGTATCCTCCCCAAATACGATGGAAGACGATGTCCAAGTTTGCGCAGAATCCACCGTTGATAGAAGGATGGACGGCATCGATGCCGGAGTTGAATGTTTACATAGAAAGACCTCTCGGAGATTATCCCTCAACAGACTTGGTGCAAGCTTCGAGCAACACCTCCTCAACCTGGTCAAACGCACACGAAAGGATACCCTAATCTTCATACCAGGGACCCACTAATAGGGCCCCTGAGATAGCCAATAAAGATTCAGTTACTCGTGTACAGGGAATGTGAGGAGCAGCGCGTTTGATTAATCTCATTTGCGTCATGTTTCACGAAGAGGCGACACAGTGGCAAATGACAAGAGGGGGAGACAGGTTTGATTGATTGCTCTCTCTCACCACGCCAACTAATGATTCCTTTTATTAAGGGTGGCAAACGCCCACCGACACTGCCTAAACCGTATCGCCGCCTTCTATCGCCGACTAATGATTTGATTTTAGTTTTGACTTGGTATATTTCTGAACTCACACCAAGTAATTGTACTATCAGCTTGCGATCAACGATAATAACAAGGGTTAAAGTTGATTTTAGCTTATGTAATTTTTATAATTTTGATCGTAGACTACCTAAATTCTTATGGATTACTTATATTTAAAATAATTTTAATATTTAAAAAAATATAGTATATAAGCCTTTTTCATCGTATCGAAATTCACGTACATTAGAGTTAAATGTTGACTCATAATAAAATATTAATATAATGATACGTATAATTTAAGTTTTAAAAAAAGATCTATTTTAGCCCTTGTGATTTTGGTCATAGACCACTTAATTATTTATGATTGTATTTATGTATAATATAATCCTTATATTTTTAAAAACATAGCATATAAGTTTCTCTAGTCAAATCTAAGTTGATAGGTGTTAGAGTTTATTTATGTGATATATTGACTCATAATAAATATTAATATAATAATATATATAATTTAAATTTTAAAAAATATCTATTTTGTCAAGGAAGAGGAAGTGGCGAAAGTCGTAGTAGTGAATAAAGACAAAGAGGTAGAGGTACGAGAGGTTGGAAGCAAAAATAAGAGATAGTTGGACCACCACATCATAAACACGATGGGTGGAGGTGCAGGAGATGACGAAGTGAAAAGTGATGAGAACGAAGACACCCAGAAGGAGGAAAAGAGGCCAAGAGATAATTACATATCTAGCGTCGGATTAGTCAACGCACATCCATCTAAAGTAAGACCTGAAGCTCTTGAGCTTGTCATCGACATAGGAAAGGCTGCATGTGTATGACACATTTGCTAAGTCGTAACAACTCGATACTACTATGGGTAGTTACTTCTACGACGACGCCTCCTCTCAACATTGATGATGATCTTAATTTTTTTAATTTAAATTATATATTATTATGTTAATGATTTATTGTGAATCAGTATGTCAAGTAAACAAATTCTAACGTCTGTTAATTCAAATTTGATAGGAAAAACTTATATGCTACGATTTTTTAAAATGTATGAATTATTTTATATATGAATAAATCATAAGAGTTTAAGTGATTCATGATTAAAACCATAAAGAGCTAAAATTGATGTTAACTAAAATTGATGTTAACCCTAATAACAATAATGATGATTTCAACACCCGCTCTGAGTTCAAGTTCCTCAGCTATCCTCACACATAATTGTTCTTCAAAGTTTAAAGATAAAAAGGTTTCCTCATCAAATAAAGAGCTTATGAACAATAACAGAAAAAGAAATAATAACCAAGCAAACCAGCTTTTCGCATTCGTGAAGAATCTGTTCCGTTGACAAAGCTGCTTGCTGTAGTTTTACAAATCACACCGAAGACTTTGAAGCTTGTCTCTTTAACTTTTACCTTTCGAACATGAGAACTCTGTAACTACAATTACAATAACTTTGCCCACAAATCCATAGAGATGCAACTCGAATGAAAATATACAATTTATGCAACTCTAAAATATGGACTTGTTCTGAGAGGAAAATCTTGCTTATTGCGTAAATCATTTACCGACTTAGAATTGGTTTGCACAACACCTGAAACTGTCCTGTAAGTCTGTCAGAAGAATTTGAACCATAAAATTCACAAGCTCCCTGTGTCAACTATTTTTACCTTTCTCTTTGCTGCATCAAGTCTTCTGGGATCTTTATCTGCCCGCCTCTTGATCAGCCATCCAATCCATCTTCCTGAGATTGTGCTTCGCTATTTTGCTTGCTTGGCCCTCGCTGTGAAAACTGCTCACCTTCTCCAAAGGGCTCACATTCATTTGCTGGCATACAATTTGGTATTGGAGAAGCCAATCCGTTGCAGCATCTTGGAATTGCCATATATAAAAGTTTTTCTTTCTAGTAACCTCTTCCTTGATTTGTTCTTTCTTGAACTGATGAGATCATGAAGTATTATTTTCAGGCAGATCAATTCTGAAATCATGAAAAAGAAGATGAATCAGACTTAATATAGCAGCAACCTTAATACCCAGCAGTTTATATCATAAAACATCATGGTTCAAACATACCACGTGCACCATTAATATAGCAGCAACCTTAATACCCAGCAGTTTATATCATCAAACATCATGGTTCAAACATACCACCTGCACCATCAAAATTAAACAGATCACACTGAAACACAAAAAGAAAAAAGGCTGCACAGGAACAATAGGAAGTTCTTTAGTCAGAGATGCAGACAGCAATGACATTGGTTGAAACTTGAAAGTGCATGTCAAGGCACCATTTCTGTGGACATAACCTTGGCACCCCATGATATCATGTCATTCAGAGGTTGCCATGCAGCTCCATACATTGCACCAAAAGAAAGCATGGTGCCCAAGCAAAGGTTTTCAATATCTATGATATTGTGCAGAATTTTTTAATACTTTATCATATTCTTCATCATTAGCTTGACCACCTCCTTTACTGAACAGTGTAGGGGTGCAGAATGTTGTATATTTTGAAAATCGATCGACCACCACGAGTATCGATCCGAGTCCTCATACTGTCGGCAAGCTTGATATGAAGTCCAAGAAAATGCTCTCCCACGACTTTTCTGGTATGGGCAATGGCTTCAAAAATCTCATCGGCTTTCGTTGCTCCACCTTATCTTGTTGGCAAATAAGGCACGTTTGAACATATTCCTCCACATCAGTCTCCATCTTCGGCCAGTAGAAGACCCTCTCCAAGGGAGCCAATGTTCTGTGAATGCCCAAATGTCTAGCCCAAAGGGAATCGTGACACTCTCTCAAGAGTTTACGCCTCAAATTGTCCACTCGAGGAACATAAACCCTATTCCTTTTTGTGTAAACGAGTCCCTCCTGGACCTAAAATCGTTGTGCCTTGTCTTCTTTAATTAGTTGCATCAGGGTTACTACCTGAGGATCACTGTGCAGTCCATCCCTGATCCTAGAAAGGAAGTTGGAGTGCAACTGATTCACTTAGCCTCCGCCCTCCAACTGCATGACATTCACCCACTCCACTTTCCAACTCAATGTATAGGCCACGACATTTGCTCTTCCGAACTTATTCTCCATTAACATATCAAACTCGGCCATGAAGTCTTGCCATCGTACTTGCTTTGGGGAGAGTTTCTTTTGAGTTTGGAAGTAACTCAAAGAGATATTGTCCGTCCTTAACACAAATCACAATTCGAGAAGGTAGTGCCGCCAAACTCATAAACAGTGGACCACTGCTATCATCTCCATCTCGTGCACTGGATACCGCCACTAGATCTCGTTGAGCTTGCGGCTCTCGTAGGCCACCGGGTGACCCTCTTGCACGAGTATTCCCCTAATAGCGAAGTCTGAAGCATTTGTATGGACTTTGAAGGGCTCTCCATAGTTTAACAATTTGAGCATCGATTCTTCTAACACAGCAGCCTTTAGATCTTGGAATGCTACTTCATATTTGTCGGACCATCTCCAAGACTGCTCCTTCAGCAACTTCGTCAGTGGAGCTGTGCGCTTTAAATACCCAACTATGAAGCGTCAATAGTAGTTTAATGAAACTAAGGAAGGATCTCAACTCCAATACCTTCTTTGGAATTCGCCATTTTGCAACAGCTTGCACTTTTGATTTGTCCATCATAATGGAACCATCACTTCTCCTTTTTCACGAACAAAGTATTCTCCCTGAGAACCTTGAAAATTGTCTAAAGGTGCTCAATATGCTCCTCGAGCGTTTGGCTATAGACGACGATATCGTCCAAGTATACGACCATAAACTTGTCCAAATACTCCTTGAATAGTTGGTTCATAAGAGTGCAGAATGTGGCCGGAGCATTGGTTAAGCCGAAAGGCATCACTAAGAACTCAAACGCTCCATACCTGGTCACACAGGTAGTCTTTGCTTCGTCGCCTTCAGCAATACTGCTAGTATCCCGACCGAAGGTCGAGTTTGGAGAAATACTTTACTTTGCCCAGTTGGTTGAATAAGTTCGTGATGAGCAAGATGGGATACTTATTCTTCACTGTTATCTTGTTAAGGGCTCGATAGTCGGCCCATAGTCGAAGACTCCTATCTTATTTCTTTTGGAAGAAAACTGGAGCTCCAAATAATGTTTTGGAATTGTGGATGAGACCACCGCTTAGTAGTTCGTCTATTTGCTTTCTGAGCTCTGCCAACTTTGGAAGGGACATGTAGTATGGTGGTCTTGTTGGAGGCTTCACTCTCGGCTCCAACTCAATATGATGATCCACGCTTCTACATGGCTATAGAGTTTTCAGCAACGTGGGTGGCATAACATTTGTGAACTCCTTCAGAACGTTCGCCACTACATTAGGTTCATGAAGGGCCTCCCTATCGAGTGGCTCTAGCTTCACAGCGACCATGAAGGTTAATTCTACTTTCGTATCCCTTTCTTCAGTTATAATACCAATATTTGTTGGGGGTCCTTGGTTTCTCTCCGAGAGACGGGAACCACATAGGGGTCGTCACCTCCCATAAGATATAGGGAGTTTAGGAACAACATTGGCACCAACTTCGTCGTGTGCATGAACTCCATTCCGAAAATCACTTGGAAGTCGTCTAGTGGCATCGCCATCATGTTTGTGTTCCCGCTCCATGTTCCGATCTTAATGGGGACTCCCTTTGCCAGCTCGGAGATCCGCTTGACCTTCGAGTTCACTGCCTTCTTCCGACTTGAGTTCTTCTCCAAGATCAGCCTAAGTCGATTTGCTTCTCGATCAACAATAAAGTTGTGGGTAGCACCCGTGTCCACAATTGCACGGGTTGTTTGGTTATTGAGATTGATGTCCACGTACATTAGCTTGCCACTCCATGCTTTATGTGCCTTTGCCTTTATGTTCTCCCCCACTTGATCCTGCAAAGCATTTAATAAACGTATTGCTCCCATCCGGGGTCCTTGCAACTCTTCATCATCACTGCTGCATTCCAAACTACTCGAACTAAGAGCGACGACCTTGCACTTGTCCAATTTGGGAGGGTGGATTGAAGTTGTTAAGACGTTGAGTGCTTGTTTTTGTGGGCACTCTCTCACTATGTGTAGTCCTCCGTACAAGAAGCATTCGCCAAGTTTTGGGGCCTTACCTTTTGAGCTAGATCCTTTGTGGGAACTCTTCTTCCTTTGTTCGCCCCTGAACTCCTTCCCTCGAGAATATTTCGGTGAGCGATTTCCTAAAGGCTGTTTCTTTTTCCCCTAGTCCTTTGAGGAAAAAAAGACAGTGAGCCTTTCAATGGCCGCATTCGCCTCGATCATATCAGTGACATTCCTTCGATGCAGTTTCTATTGTGCCCATGACTTTAGGTCATCGAGGAAGCTGAACAGCTTATCCTTTTCGGACATGTTCTGTATATCTAGCATTAGTGAGGAAAATCGCTTCACGTAGTATCGAATGAAAGTACTTTGGAGGAGTTGTCTCAGCTTCCTCCTTGCAATGAACTCTATATTCTCAGGTAGGAACTACGTTCTTAACTCCCGCTTCAAGTCCTCCCATGTGTCCACTCGACACTGACCTTATTGGATCTCTTCCTAACGGGTTTGCCACCAAATTTTTACATCCCCATTCAGATACATGGTTACTATCGAAACTTTGGTATCTTCAGAATCGGGTCTTGTAGCTCGAAAACATTGCTCCATATCAAACAAGAAATTCTCAAGCTTCTTTGCGTCCCTAGTACCCCCGTAGCAATGAGGCTCAAGTGCTCTCAAGTTTTGTGGCGACGTAACACGGGTGTTGCTCCCTCTTGCATTTAGTGCCCTTGTGTCCCTAGTATCCATCATTGTTTGACAATAAGACATCATCAATCATCCAGCATTTCATGAGCGGATCAATTAGTGAACTCATTCTTTAATGAGCACCTGCACTGTATCCCTAGTGTCCCTACACGAGTAGCTATGAGACAAGCTGCCTCCATCATATAGACAAGTATACAGTACACCAGTATGTCCAGTTATCTCGATGTCCCTCTCGAGTAACCTATGACCGAGATTATTTAGGGTTTGTGTTTAAAGGCGAATCAGTCTCATTATCGTATCCCAATCTGGCGGTACCACCGCCTAACAGTCTGGGAGATTGTGTTTGGGCGATACCACCGCCCAGTCTGACGGTACTACAGCCAGACACAGTCTCGAAGACTATGTCTGGGCGGTACCACCGCCAGACCTTACTACAAGATACTGAATGAGCCAAACAACAAGCCCAATTGACCCCTAATTAAGTTGGCATGATTATACCTAAAACCAACTCAATTAGACATAACTAACTCGATCTAGACACACACGATTATAAGCATGAATCCTATGTTGTCTGGCATATTGTTGGTTTATTCGGCACATCGTCCTCTCTTGCGGCGTATTACCCAATTGGCATGTTGACCTCTGCAACATCCGATCTCCTTGGTGCAATGTTCGATCCTTTTGGCCCGATGCCCGAACTCATGGCACGAAATCTTCTGCCGATACGTCGACCGATCCTCCAGCTCGACATCCAATCTTTTGACATGTTCCACTCCGACCCAACGTCCGATTCCTCCTGCTTTAATCGATTTTCCTTTTCTGATCTAATTTAGTCCTGCGTCACTCAAAACGCAGATTAGATCGTTAACTCATCAATTGATTTATATCATCAAAATTTAAGATTCAACAATCTCCCCCTTTTTGATGATGACAACCAATTGATGACGGAGTTAAACCAAACTCCCCCTATCAATATGCTATATTGATAGAAACTTTGAATTCAGAAAATCATGACTATTTCATCATTGCATGCATCATGGATATTAAAAGACCCAATTAATCACATCATTGCATGCATCTTAAAATCATAAGCATTGCATGCATAATACCAATTCATCATGTATATTTTTAAAATCATCATTACATATGCATAATTCCAAATTATCATACATAATTTCAAATCATCATTTTAGGCATAATATGCATGATTATCATCATACCTTCTCCCCTTTTTTCATCAACAAAAAGGAGAAGCGCAACTAACAAGTTTGTAGATATGCAAGCTAGGAAGATAGTAAATTTTGAACATGCAAGCTAGCAATTTTTTCACATATGAAAGTTAGCAAAATTTTTGTATCTTTTGAGATGTGCAAGATAGCCTGTTTTTGCATCTTTTTGAAATGT